AGAGGACAGGTGTCTAAGAAGATAGGGATTGCAGTGTTCTCCTCAGATTAATGAATCCTTCCTCAGGCATTCCCCTCACTGTCATCCAGACCCCACCATTTCCAAGTCAGAGGACTGTGCGAATGCCCAAGGAAAGCAGCTCCACTGGGAAGATCTACGCCTAGAGCAGTCGTTTCCAACCTTTTTCAAGTTCTGACCCCTTCTTTGATGGTCAAGTAACCTGAGATTCCGCCAATTTGATTGAAAAGATATTTTTAACGGGATAAAGTCATCGCTTCTCAAAAAGTAGAGGCTTCCTTCTCTCCTAAAGGGCCCATTTCTCATACATACACATATATACTATCTTTACTATCCGGTTCTGAAAGATCAAGGAAGAAATTATTTGACAAGGGCTACATATAAAGTAAGGGACGTGGTGGCGCTGCAGGTTAAACCACAAAGCCTCTGGGCTGCAAGGTCATAAGATCAGCAGTTTGAATCCATGTGACGGAGTGAGCTCCCGTCGCTCGTCCCAGCTCCTGCCAACCTAGCAGTTAAAAAGCATGTAAAAATGCGAGTAGATAAATAGGTACCACCACGGTGAGAAGGTAATGGCGTTCTGTGCTAGTCGCGCTGGCCATGTGACCATGAAAACTGTCTTCGGACAAACGATGGCTCTAGATTCCTCATTAGCACATTACCAGGGGAGTTGAATTTTAGTCTGTTAACACCTGAAAACATAGTGTTAAACCTCGGCTCTAGATTCCTCATTAGTACATTACCAGGAGAGTTGAATTTTAGTCTGTTAACTGTGGGGAAAATTTATGCTGTTATGCTGTTACAATGTATATGTCTGTGGCAGTAGCAAATGTATATCTATGACAATGGCAGGCCTCATGCTAAAACTGCAAGTCACTAGTTTCCAGTAAGGATGATCATTAACCTGCTGTCTATTGTCTCTGGATAATGTAGTTAAAGTGTTCGTGTATTCAGGAACTTGTCTGTGTATTTGGATGGTATCTGTGTCTGTTTGCCAGCCTGTCTGTTTACCAACCACTGTGTTTACTGATGCCTTTGTATTCAAGGAAATTAGCTGTCTCTGTTTACTAGCACTCTGGTTATTCTGGCTGTGTATTCAGGAAATTAGTTACCTCTGTATTGATTAACTAGTGCAAAGGTAGTAGAGTACAATAAAAAAGGGGGCGCGGCAAAGGAGAAGGAGATTCTGCCTCTGAACAGCTGCCATACACTCGAGTGTCCCGTCTTTTCTTTTCCCCCTTGCTGGTCAAGGAGAAAGATCCCTGCCCCTGAGGCTTCATCTGCAAGACCCCTACTTTCCTTCATCTTGCAGATCCCGACAGTTAACACCTGAAAACATAGTGTTAAACCTTAGACTAGGCCTTTTTATTTTTCATGATGCATTTGAGGAAGTGGCCTGGCTGATGCTTCACATCACGAGAGCTAATGTCAAATGAAACTTGCTAGTCTTTAAAGCATAGGTGAGCCAACTTTCAGGTGCCCAGGAACCCCACACACCCACACTCATTCTGGCCCCACCCCAAACATTGCTTAGATTTTTTTTTTAACTGAGAAGAGTTCTTCGTGCCCTATTATAGCCCATTAAAAATAGTGTGGAGGTTGTCCAACATACTTCAGAACTGCGCTCCAAAACCCCCAATAAAGGGGGAAAAACAGATGTTTAAAGCAAATTTTAAAACAATCCTGTTTTGTTTTGGCAGGTGTGGGCAGGCTCCTGTGGGCTGCACTTTGCAAACCCCTGCTTTAAAGTATGGCAAGCCTGTGTCAACAATAAATGTCCCAGTCCTTAGACTGCTGCTTACTTTAAAACTCCCCACCTAGGGTTGGTGGGAACAGCTTCCAAGCCTGTTGTACAAACATACTCTTGTCACATGTACACTGACCTAATTCACCACTATGGTAGGTGAAAATGCAAGACATCCGAGTCCCAGTAGTGGGATGCAGGACTTGCCCTGTCTAGTGCCCTCTATCCAAACACAGCACTTCATGTTTACCTTCAAAAAATAGATACTCCAGCAGTGACAGGTGCCTGGAAACAGTAATGGGATTCACATGGGCATGGTACTCGGGGTTCACAGCCACACCGTGTTCTTGGTCTCTAGTGGCCATGAACTCTCCTTTCTGAATACATCCCATTTGTGTTGCTGTAGTGAAACGATGGTAGGAGGGATGAGAGCACCTTGCACTTCTTGACAATAGCCCTTTCCATTCTTGCAGTTCACACGCATACAATTTTGCACATGTACACAATAGTTTTCAGACACATACATTTAAGCACATGCATCTGTCAAACATCACCAGTGAAGCAACACTTTGACAACTAGGTGCACAATTAATGAAGGTTGAAAACCAGGGAGCATGCCTCTATTGACTCCCAGTCTATTACCTGCAGGGACTCTTAAGCCAAAAAGAGTTTAGGTGCCATCCATTTATTCCAAATTAGGACACTGCTCATTGTCCAGTGGTGTACATGGGCATTCTGCATCGTCGTGAAGGCTATCACATGTGCACTTATCACCTACCAAGGTAAACCCTGTCTAGCACATGAGTCTTTGCACAGGAGCTCCAAATTTTAACTGCAACCCTGCCTGCAATACATAGCTTTGGCTTACCTTGGGAAAACATATAGATAACCTCCCCTCTTCCATTTGCAGTCCACAACATTGGCTGTTCAGGAAACAGAAGGCTGAACCTGCCATTCAGCCAAGCAGAAGGGCCTCCCTCAGCCAGCTGCCACTGTTGTTGTTTCTTTCACTGAACAATGGATCACTGTCCCAGGCTAGCATTTCTATTGTATTGGGCACTGGCTCACAGATAGATCCTGCATTGTCTGCTTATACATTTGCTTGCACAAGAGGAACTGGGCTCTTTGAGCATGCTGGAAGAGGGAAAGCAAAGTCTTCATTCCCTCTGACATTACTCTGTATGAGTTATCCTAATTTACCTTCACATGCACCCAAGTTATCATCACTGATAATTGTTTGCATAAGAAATATTCTCTCATGGATAAAACCTCAACAGTGTCAGCTGCAGGGGGCCACACAGCACAAGGGAAAGCCAAGGGGAGTCAGTTCCCACTAGAATCAGCCACTAAAACCAACTCACAGTATCCATGGCATAGCTGATAGGACGATAAGGCATGTGAGAAGTGCAGAGAGGGACACAGGCATCAGATAAGATTTTCCCAAGAGGACAGAAAGTTATGAAACCATCAGCAACAAAGGTCCACCTTCTCCTCTGAGTTGTGTAGTGCCTGTGTGGCATTGCTGAAAAGCCTCTTGATGGAACAAAGCAGGCTGCAGAATAACTGGAGCTTTGTGGGCAAGGCAGATAAGGTCAGCGACAGAACAGAAGCAGGCCATGAGACCATGATGCACGTTCAGATAGATGCTGCTTGCATCAAGTTAGGTGGCTGCAGATTTTGCTGTAAGAGGACATTAAATCCACATATTGATGAAGGAATGTGGAGAGGACAAGGGGTGTAAAGCTCTTTTGAGAAACTCATTGGTTAAAAGAGGCACGAGGCAAACCCATCTCCTGGGCAGTCGGGGGGGGGAAAGGACAACTTCCAGGCAAACAAGATTCGCTCTCTCTTGGAAAAGGAAGTTGTTATGCTATATTTTATTTGACAGTGGCATTACTTATCCCAGGTCTGCACTATTTTATTGGACAGTGGCATTACTTGTCCCAGCTCTGCACTATTCAAGACCCATTATGGCGTATAAAACCCCACCAACCATGTATACAGCTCCACTTAGCAGGGACAGAATAAATCTATTTTTAACTGCAAACACTGGATAGGTGGAAGTAACTCAATAAGACAGACAGGGTTTAATTTGGTAGGTCATAAGTGCACATGTTTATGTGTAAGGCTGTTGGAATATCTGTGGTCTAAAGCATTCTTGCACTTGTAGACAGTGTAACCTTCTTAGCTTTGTATGAAGCTGCTATGAACAGCCTTCCACAGTCTGTATGCCCTTTTTGACTGCAACTCCCATAAACCCCAACCATTAGCCATGCTGGTTGTGGCTAATGGAAATTGCTTCTGTTTCTCTGCAAGAGAGAAACTTGAGCCCATAAACTACTTCAGCTGTGAGACTGAATACAGTACCATGGCAAGTACAGCTTCCCAGTTTCAGTGAAAACATATAATATGCCTGGATATTCTTTATTCCAGTACTGCATTCTTGGCTGCAGAAATCATTATTCTGACCAAAGTGGCAGACAAGTATAATGAGGAGAGAAAAAAAGAGGAAGGTGTAATGAAAGGACGAGACAATTCTGTATATAATCTTCATTGCCCAAAAGACAAAACCAACACTTCAGGCTTCTGAGGTTAATTAAAGGAAATAAAAAGTTACAGGTGTGGTTGTTGTGTTGGTCCAACACACCTGCAAAACCCAAATAAATGCAACATCCATTGCAATCAAAATGGTAGTAGGAGTCCAAATTATTAAAGTTTGCTATTCTATTAATATGGCCTAATGATAAGACCCTTATTCTTTGCCTTCAGCCCCTCATTCACAAAAGAATCACAACAGTTAAAAATAAACTCCCAGAAATGATTTTCCCCCACTATACTTTAATTTCTTTCCATCTTAAAAACAAATGCACTTCCATTTTTAAAAAGTCCTCCATCAGCTGCACTAAACAAACACCTGTACGCACGCAACAAAGTCACATTCCAAGGGTGGAGAACGACTACTCTCAAAAGGGTGGGCAGATTTAATGCACAGCATGAAAAAAGTTAATTTTTTTAAAAAATAATAAGCAAAAGGTAGTGTTTAATGGCCAACAAAATGTACAGCCAGGCCAAAAGAAGAGTTGGGGTGGGGGAGCAAGGGATCGGGGGTAGGATTGCCAGGAGCATCTCCCAAATATACAAAGTGAGAGGCCCCCATAGAAACCATTTGAAAAGAGAAGAACTGAGCAATGCAGTCTCTCCACTGTTGCTGGAATGGGGAGTGCCAAGCTCTTTGTGCTTTAGTCAGCCTTACTGACTTATTCTAGAGGCTCAACTAAGAAAGGACAAGCTTGATCATGTGAGGCTACTTCTGGGACTTTCCGTGTACATCTGCAGACGTGCAAATAAGCCACATTTCTTCCAGCACAGCCCCAATGGTTCATGACACATATCTCTCAGGACATCCTGTTCCTTACTCTCCAGAGGAAGAGCGTGGAGAGAGCATTAGCAGGGGTCTCTGTGGGGATAGGGCAGCTTGGCTGACTCCCACCAACTCTGAGGAGATCATCGCTCACCAGGGAGCTCTGAAGAGTCTTACATAAGCAAAGCACCTTCAAGAATATTTCACTACCAAAAAAAAAAAAAAATCCACATCATCACCATCAAAGGTGGCACGTTTTAGGGATGAGGGAAGTAACATCTGCTTCAAGGAAAGTTTGCCTCTTCACTATTTTCAACTTGCCCCTCTCCCCATAGAACTGAAGAGGTCCCAATACAAAAGGGAATAGCTGCATGTTCTTCCCCTGCCACCAAATCTGTGACCCCAAAGAGTTTCTGTTAGCTTTGATTTAAAAGGAAGGATAAGAAATATCTAGCCCAGATACTAAAGTTTGTAGATCTTCCCAGAGGCCTGCCCACAGGGAGAAAACTGTTAGCATCCAAACATATAGATTTACAGGATCTGGTTATTTCAAGCTTCTACATGGCTGGCTCTCAACAAATAATTATAATGTCCTTCAGTGTTGTACCAGGTTGAGGATGGTATTCTTCTGGCAAACAGGGAACAAAAAAGGTGTGACTACTAGTACAAATGTAAGAGGGAGAAAAATATATTAATAGAGAAGCTAGCACTTTTGAAGTAGTATTTGGGTTTGTATTGCTTTAAACAGGCAGTTAACCAAAATCTGTTCTTTTTGTTTAATGTTCCATTATAATGGAGCTCATTCCTTGAAATAACGCTTTTCGAAATATCCTTGTGCGATTTCCTTCAGGTGATTCCATGATCATAGAAAGTTTAAATAGAAGCCATTTAAAGTTGAATTTCCAGCTTAGGACTTGTCCCACGCTTCCAAGCCACCCACCCTTCAACGGGGAAACAAAACAAAACATCCTTTTTCTAGCAGCCGACTGAAGGGAACAATGGCGGTGTCAACTGGAGACTAAGAAAGCTGGCCAAATCATTTAACAACTTTTTCAGCAAAACCTTTTATTTGAGAATCAGCTGCAAGTTATTCCTTTCCTTGGGACAAATGATGACCGCAGTCACCCTCTTTACACTCTTATCTCGTCGTCTTCCTCATCCATGAAGCAGAATTCCTTGTCCAACTCTTTGACAGGGTCATGCCTGGCTTCCTCTGGAACACCATAGTTCTGTCCCTTGGAGGTTAAGCAACGTTGTTCCTCTCCCACAGAAGCACAACTGGAGATGGAACTGCTGTCCATAGTCAGGCGGCTTGTCACACTGCGCGCAGAGCCAGGACTGTAAGTCGCTGCTCGGCTGCCGTCCTGCTGTACCAAGGAATCCTGTGGAAGTTTGCAATCCTGGCTGAAAGAGTGGGCTGGGGATGCCTCCACCGGGCCTGCTTCCTTTTGAGGATCCTCTGCGCCATGGTAGCCAGAATCCTCTTGTTCCCAGGGGTCCTTATCCATGACGCTCAAGACATCTCCAAGCATAGAAGGCCCCAGATCAATATGGAAAGACAGGATTGACTCTGCATGCTTCAGGCCACAACCGTTCTTTGGGACTACTAAGGGCAAGTCGGTTATGTCCCCAAAGTCCCGCTCTTCCAACCCAGGACTCTGAGGCCCAGAACTGAGGGAGGCAGCAGCCCCGTTCATGTGTGTCTCCTCAGGGCTCTTTTCTTCCGGACCTTTCTTGACAGGGCTAGAGGAGAGGCTCTTGGGCAGCTTTCTCCCGCCACTCTTCTCTGTGTCTTTCTCAGTGAGCTGAGGGAGGGAGACGGCGTTCTTCACAAAGATTGCCGAATCCCTCAGAGAGCCCAACATGTCCCGCCGGTCACCCCGTGTCACAGACTGAGACCGTTTGCTGCTGCGGAACTTCCGCGCGAGCAGGCCTGGCTTGGAGGAGGAGCCCGTCTCCTCCGTGGCCTCCTGCTCGCCCTCCCCAGCCTTGCTGTTGAGGAAGGAGGTGTCTCCAAAGGCATCTCCACCCCGGCCTACATGCATGGTGTGACGGAAATCGCCAAGGGGAGCGCTGATCATCTCAGCTGTCAGGTCGGCACGGGAGCGGCGTTTAGAGTTAGTAGAATTGGTCACCAGCTGCTTCAAAATAGGCATTTTTGCAGCAAATGAGAACTCCTATGTATAGAAATCCGTGTGGGAAATGAAATTCCTTTCTGTTCCAGAGGAAATAAGGCTGAACTCCTGGAGGCTCCCAAGTCGATCTCTGACTTCCTGTAGGTCTTTGGACCGTTTAAGCCTAAAGACATAAGAAATGAGAGTGTTAGATTTTGTCAAGAGAATAGAACCATTCCCATTTCTGTTCCTTTGGGTGAGATTTTAAGGTGGAACGAAAAGGACTAAATTAAAAAAAATGTCTTTAATTGGAATGCAAATATAATACATCTTACTCATAATGGGGAAGACCGTAACCAGGTGCCTGGTCTGCACACTGCCACCTGCTGTTTACATGCTAACTACTGAAGGGCAACTTCAAGTTTCCTGCTTTTCCTTCTGATGATTCTTGCTCTTTAAACCAGACTTGATAATATTAGGGGCCATGTAGGTCTTCAGATGCTGTTGGATTGCCACTCCCATCAGAGCTAGCAAGCAGAGCCAATGGTGAGGGTTGCAGTTCAACAAAATGTGGACACCATGTGTGCTCCACCTCTGAAATGTGCTATTCTCAGACTGCCCACCCTGTGAAGTAGGATGCATGGCCCCACTCATGTTCATGCCGGGTCCTGTTCTTTCTCTTCTCAGCTGGGAGTATAGGGGTAATGTACTGTCTTTGCCCTAGGATAACTACAGTACTTCCTTTGCCTCACTCCAGTTCATTTTCTACCCTGTGCTTTGACTTTATAATATGGAATGTAGGCAGGTGACAACATGAGTGCTTAAGCTTTCAACTTCAGCAGGGATGAGGAGTCCACTTGCATGCAAGCCAGAAATGGAAGATGGGTGTGCTCTAAGCTTTAGAAGAGAGAGAGAGAGAGGTGTGAAAGAAAACAATGCAGAGATGGGGCAAGGCAGGGGACAGCATGTTTCAAAACAGAGCTATTAAAACAGCACTCTCTCCCTTCCCTCGCAGAATTTCTTTTCACATCCAATTTACTGCTTGGGGGCAGGTTTGCATGCTCAGTGGAGCAACCATCCCAAGTCAAAGAAAAGAGTGAGACAGAAATTAATGTCTGCCTCCTCTTAGGCAATGTGACCGAAAGAAATGCTGCCATGAACATGGAGGAGTATCTGAGATGTTACCCATCCCTTTTCTTACTTGTGTGAGAGAATGCTTATTTTCACCCCTCCCCCTGCTCTCATTAATTCTGCTCCAAAAGTTTCCTCTCTCTATTCTTATCCATATAACTCTGATATATAAATAGGGCATGGAGGTCAGTAACCCCTGAACATTTTTTTAAAGCTAACATTCTCAAAATCATGAGATCTGGCTAAAGGCTCTGGTAGCCAAGAATTTGCTAGAGCTATTAGAAGCCATTCCTATTTGAATTCTCTGGCTAGCCTCTTGAGGATTTCAGACAGGCAGAACTTTTGTTGGCCACAGTGCACAAGGTTTTCTGCCCCTCATTTGGCCCAGCCCTGCTCTGTGGTTGATTCGCTTTTACAGGCTGCAGGATTATTTCAAGCATTACCTAAGAAATAAAGTCTGACAGTTCTTATTATATCTGTGCATCTGTTGTCTGCTGTGGGTACCTGTTGGACAATGCCAATGACACTCCTTGCAATAGGCAGCAAGTTGTTCAAAAGACTGTGCCCAGAGTAGCTGAAGAGATTTTAAAGTTTCCTCAGTGTTGTTCAGAAATACATGAATCCCCAGTTTAACACAGAGAACGTAACAGAGTAAATCTCCACTGTCAACAAATTACTACAGCTCTTCCACAGAAGTCCTCTATAAACAACTTTAGATGCCACTAAAATCCTAATGTAAATGAACAACCTTTGCTCTTAGTATTTTCTAAAGGTGGTAACATGCTTCCAGACAGAAACAAAAGATCAATTTGGAGATGTGAACTGGCTGATCTCACGGTATTTTAAATCCCATAGTTAGGAGCAATTTCTGAAAATATAGGTGCAAGTCCTAGGAAGAAAGTTAATCAATCATCCACGTGGATTTGTGAAGAACAGATTATGCCACAAAACCAGTCTTGCTTCCTTATTGCAGAAGGTACTGAGAATGCAGTACAACGAACTCTGAAGCAGAAATGTGACACTTAGATTTCAGACACCAAGCTGGAACCTTCTTCAAAGTAAACATGCACACGATGGTGCAAATTGTTATACATGGAATAGTTTAATATGAGCTGAAAACCATCACAGAAGGAGGACGCCCATCAGGCAATTTTGCCAAGAACTGGCTGTACCTTCACACCGCCCCTATCCATGTCTAATCAGAAACAGGATGTGGGGTTTTTTTTGTTTTCATTTTTTTAAACTTCAGTGAGACTTATTCACAGGTACAGAGGTTTTATTCCTCACTGTGCCTACTGGGAGAAGAGCCAGTCTTATGTGGCCTAAGTTTTATTCCTCACTGTGCCTCCTGGGAGAAGAGCCAGTCTTATGTGGCCTTGAGTGCTACCTGACTGACCTGGTGAACTATGAGTACTTGATACTAGAGACTACTACTTTATACTTCGCGAATATATCTATGAGTACTTTATACTAGAGACTATGAGTACTAAATACCCCGCACAGGTTGACATAGCAAGGGTCAACTTCTGCTGTTGCTGCGGGCTCCGCGTTCCCTTCCTATCAATCCAGAGCTTGCAGTCTGTGAGCCACTCTTCGACTTTGCAGCAAGGCTCGTCTTCCCGCCTCCTGCCAGGAGTGGCTCGTAGACCGTGAGCTCCGGATCAATAGGAAGGGAGTGCAGAGCCCCCAGCAACAGCAGGAGGTGAGCGGACGGTCCACCCGCAGGGGGCAGGACCCTCATTATTTTCACCTGTGGGGGGTATTCATATTCATATGAGTGGTCCTCGTTTGACCAGATAGGCCTGCAATGACGTCTCTAAAGGTGACTTGACAACTTCTGCCTCTCTTTTAAGTTTATTTCAAGAAAGTGCACCGGTCCATCCGCCTCTCTGTATGCTCTCCATATATTCTCACCCTGCCTTTTGCTATTATGTTTACTGAATTGTGAATCTGCAAGTGGGGACTGTATTACCTTTTAATATCTGTATGACACTTTTAAAAATGAACCATTACAATTTTTAAATAAAGAATATCATCATTGAACCTATAAGTGATATTAAGAGGGGAGGAGACCCTTATTCTGCTGCTAATCCAATACACTATATTAAAAGGAAACCTCCAGACTAGTTCTTATTCTACTGAATGACGTTTCAAAGTTATCCTGAAGTCATGAGCGCTAGAAACACAGAAACCACAAGAATGGCAGCTGCACCCAACTGAGAGCCCAGAGAAGGCTGGTGACAGCCAACAAGACATTTCATGCCCCCGGGTATGGCTGCCTTACATTGAGCTGAGTGCTTTGTCAGTATGTCAGTGTGTATACAGGAGAAATGTCATTCTGAATCAACAATTCAACAAAGGCCTAAGCAATTAGGGGAAAAGTCCTATAAGAAGAACACAACAGCTCTGCCAAAAATAAGAGGTAGGTCTTTCATTATTACTCATATATTTCTGCTGAGGGGAGTGTTCAAGAGCTGGCTAAGGCATCCTCAAGCTTTAAACAAAAACTAAATGGAGGAAGGGGAACACTGGCACTTGGGGATTTGAGGAGAACAAAAAGTTGCAAGTCACAGATGCTGAAAGAATTGAGTACAGGCCATAAAATGAAGCTAAAGAAAGAAAGAAAGAAAGAAAGAAAGAAAGAACAAAAGAACGAAAGAACGAAAGAAAGAAAGAACAAACGAACGAACGAATGAACATTGGAAAAATACATGCTCATTTAGCAGATATAAAGGTGCAAAGAACCTTCCCATACCCTACAATGTAGGAGCACCTTCTGGCTTTCTCCATCCACTGTGGTTTTGCCTGCTTGAGAAATGGCACTGCAGGCACATGTTTTAAAACATAGCCAAACAAAAATGGGATGGCAGTTTCATGGAAATCCTCCTGTCCCCGCAAAGCATTGCCTTTTACAGCAGATAGAAGATGGAAACAATTTTTGAAACTGCTTATGAATGATTAGACTTACCACAACATGGGTGGTACATTGTACATGGCACACAGTACATTGAAATAACTATAATATATAGACCAACAGCATCTTCATTCAGAAGTGCATTCTGGAGAAGATAGACAGATGCTTCACCATGCTCTCCTGCAGTAAACTACTACGTACATGATATGTAAGTAACACAGATAGGTATGTTAGCCCATGAAAACCAAAACTAAACCAAAATCCACAGAAGGAAAATAATACTTTTAAAAGAATCAACTAAAACTGCACAAAAGTGTGCACTTTTTTACTTTCTTCAAAATTCTTCTGCAGAGTAGAGGGTATAAAATCTACCATGGACCAGGGGAAAAACTAATAATCTGATGTTGCTGTGGCCATGAGATTTGCTGTTAAATTCAGTCTGTAGATGAGAGATTTGAGATTGAATGGGTTCTGGTATGTTTGTAGGTATCTGATGTCTAGCAATTGCCTTAGAAGAGTAGAGAAGAAATAATTGGACTCCATTTCTAAAAATGCAAGTCAGGCTGAAATTCACTGTGTTGAATCTGTCTGTGTAGCAATAAAACAAGGTGGCCATGTTTACTACATGATCCCTGATTGGCTGGGACACTAAAGAAGAAGAAAACCTGTCCCCACCTTTTCCTCCAGCGATACAGGAGAGCCATAGAGGGAAGAGGCAAATAAGAATTGCAAAGAGCAATGGGAAAAGGTATGCTTGCATTTCAAAGGGAAGTGAGTCTTACACCTCAAGGCACATATGAGAAATGGCTTCATGAGGCATAAGAACCAAGACTGAAGGAAGGAGTGCAACTGGAGGACCACTTCTTATCATTCAATCATGCTGACCATCACTGTCAATGTGAAAGGTGCCTGTTTAAACATGTGCAAGTTTATCCTTCACAATTTTGGGCTTTGCAGTCTGTGGTCTGCAGCCTCAAGTATGTAGTGGAAAAAACAGCATGCCTTTATTTCAACTTAAGCAGCAAAAGTCAATAGGCACTGTCATTTTTGCCACTAAGAGATATTCAACAAAGAACATGCATGAAAAAGAATATTGCAGCACTCTCTGCTAGCCTCAGAAGGGTCTGCTTTGTTTTTACCTCCCTTTCCTCTCTGTGAAAGTCAAGAAGCCCCAGTGCCATAACCCAGGAGATCATAGTGGAGAGTCTCTATAACATAAGCTACATACGTGCAGATGACAGGAGTTATAACTGGAGTTATAACTGGAGTTATGATGTTGTACAGTCAGAAGGGGGGAACACAGGGCAGACCGCCACTTCTTGAGAATCTCAGCTCTCATTTTTCCTTTAGAAAAGCAATCTCCTGTTGCTGTAAATACAGGGTTGCATGTATGTGGACAATGCTTAGCAAAACTTTAAAAGAGCATTAGAGAAAGAAATGTAACAAGATTCCCAGTCATCAGGGTTTAAAACATCCATCTCATTTCTGTACAGATTCTTGTTGCCCCCTCCAGCAGGTGGAACAAGTTAAGCAAAGTAAGCAGAATTAATGCATTGGAAATCCAGATTCTGCTTATTGTGCACAATGTACACAGACCACAAAATTTACCATTAACTGGTTCAGATTTCATCCTCATTCCCCCACAGCATACATAACCTTTTATTAAGACCCTGCTGCGTATCCATGGCAGAGGAAGGTATCAGCTGCTGATATGAATAGGCTGGAGAAATAGTCTCTACAGCTCTAGACGTGCTGACTGGACATCTGAATCCCTTTAATACTAAACACACACTCTTATTTAAGACAGCCAAACTTACACCCTGTCCTGATTCCCCGCTGTAACTCCTATTAAACAGGAGCCTCCTGACTGCCAAGTATGTTCAGTTACACATGCTAGACTTCAAAGCACTGAGATAGGGGAACAATAGGGGTTTTTAGCCCATGACTATCTACCTTCCTGGACATCAGGCCTTCATGCCAACTTCAAGAGATCTGGCCATCCTGGAGAAGTAGACAGGATACATCTACAGTATTTCGATTTGGAGGTGCCACACCAGGAACTCTGGACTAATGCAAGAAGGAAAAGACCAGAAGCAAATGAGCTTCCTAAAGCCACACCTTGTTGCTCCTAGAGACACGGGGTGAACATTTGTTTTTGCCTGAGTATTACAGGTGAAGAAGCTGCTGGGTACTGGGATTTGAGAAAAGGCAAAGGATCCTAGTGATGCACTAAAATGCTGAGTAGTAGCTACAAAATTCCAAAACATAATTTTCTTTCAGTTTACTTAGGGCAGACAAACTGGGTTTTCTGTTTCTGGCATCTTTGTGTAAATATTCTGGCTTCTAATTATAAAATGAATATAAAAATTGAATTCTGACACAGACTTCTGACTTTATAAAATAAAAATAACATCTGTCTTTTGATACAAATTCTGCAACTGGAAATGTAACTGCAACACTGGCGCTCAGCCTGAGCACTGGAGCAGAAAACCATACAAAGGGCATGGAGAAAGTCCTGAATGCAAAGTCCTCCTTCCTCCCAAACAGATGTCACCAGTCATGTATCCTGTTTTTTGTTTGTTTGTTTGTTTTAGGTGGGGTAGGTGGGGCTCGGGTAGGTGGGGCTCGTCAGCCATGGAAGGCAGCCCATCTAGGAGAAGGAAAACTCCAATTTCAAACCTCCACTGCCTTGTGGCTATATCCCCTCATGGAAAAGGCTTCAGGAGTTAACCTCGAGGCAGAATCCGGAGCTGGAGTCCCGAAGGCAGCATGTGTCGTTCTGCCACCTCCTGCGACATTGCTGGAACCAGTTGTACTGGCTCTTGCCTTTCCATTGGACCATTTCAGTAATGTGGAGAGGGGGGAATCTGCTGCTTGGGTAACGGCCTATCCTCCATATTACCTTACCCGGGCTTCATGCTCTGGAGAGGACACTCCTCGATTCAGAGCATGTTACCATAGTCTCTTGAGACTGAAGGATGCCTATGTTATGCTATGCTTGTTTTAGAGCAAGAGCCTGGAGCAGTTATCCTCATTCTTTTCCAGCTTTGGCTATCTAGAACAACCCCTTCTTATCAGAGACAATAGCAGCCACTGACCACATGCTTGCAAACTTTTCTTCCAAATTCTGACAGCTAGCAATTCATTGCTGAATAAGGGAACTTGATCTACACTATTATATTTTGCATTCACCAAATAAGTGCTATAACAAACATGCCATGGATTTGCACTGTGAAGAAACTGAGGATCTTGGGAGCATGGAACATAGAATTCAGTTACTGGAAGCTTTGCTGCTTCTTTGATGAGTACTTTCCTGGGGAGCTGGCCAAGAAGACAGAGGTCAGTATGTGTGCAGGACAATTCACACCTTCAGTTAACCTTCTGTAAACAAACAGTTCAAAGAAAGACTGAGTGGGGACTGATGCTTCCAGACATTGTTTAATAGAAGGCATATCAAAACAGCACAGAAAGGAATGTGATGCTTCCACTTGAATTTAAAACCCACTCAGCCTTCCCAGAGACATGCAAATTTAGGCTGTGAGAAAGAAAGAGGAAAATGCTTTTGTTTTGGGGAACATGAAAGGGGATTAAGATGATGATTGTAACAGGTATGAGATAACTCATTTAAAGTACAAAAGGGATTAGGAAAACTGGATACCCTACCTTCTCTCTCAGGAGAAAGGTGCTTTGCTCACCCACTGTTCCTCAGTGCCTAGAAGGGGATCATTCTAACTCAGAAGGAGGGGACTGTGTCCATTTGTCATTCTACAAAGTTGTGCTGCGAAATGCACTCTGTACACATCCCAGATCCAAACTATTGCTTCGCTAAGGCATGAGTATGTATGTATGTATTATTTCAGTTTGCATATTTCCTCATAGTGCACACACTCACTGCATGGTTTACAGCACATTAAAGACATATAATACACCTAAATACCTAACATTTAATACTTAAATAGATAAAACCTTGTTCCTAGCTCAAACCTAACCTTCAATAAAATTAAACAGATTAAAACATCTCAGGGAGTTAATAAAAGACAACTTTGAATAATATGGTTTTTGCCCAATTTCTTAAAAAGAGAGAGGGAAGATGACTTTCAAGCCTCTACTGGAAGGGAAAGGGCATGATCCTTTCAAGCAACTGTCTAGAGTTTGGCTTCAGTGGATTTGTGGTACTAAAACCAGGCCTTGCCTTGATCAACTCCTGGGCTTTTTTAGTGTTTGTGGGGAAGTGAGGGCAGCTAATTTGCAAGGCTGGGATGCTAGCTCTAAGTGCTTGGCTTTGAGAATTTGGTTTGCACTTCCTGCAGACATTGCCAGATCTGAATAAACTGAAGTGTTAGGGAGTAATACACTCTGTCAGAATCCACAGCCATCACTATTACTGACTCTTACTTCGGCTAACACAGGAGAAACAAGAGTGGTGTGGCTATAGTGGGGGACCTGGACCAGGTGCTATCACCTGCATGCACACTCTTTTTCTCCCCTCTCCTGCTTTTTAAATAGATGTCATGAAGCAGATGATGTAATCTTGGTTGAAATTATAATTTTATCAGGAGAGAAACATATGATGAACTCTCAAGCTTTACAGCTGAAGGGCCTAACTTGAAATCTTAATCCTTCAACTGTGGCTATGGGAGAAGCCTGATGAACCTAGAGTTCAGAGCACAACTTGCTTGCTTCCTTATTTAGTCAAGCAATCAGTCAGTCAGTCAATCAATCCTGCTCAACTAGTGGCTGAGCCACTACTCTGAGAGGCAAACAAATATCAATAACACAAAATGCACAACAGACCCAATAAATAGCAAGCAAGGAACATAATATCTCATAAAGAATAGTAACTATAAAATAGTTATAACTATTGGATACAATAATATTAGGCTGAAAAAACAGGGCAAGTTCATAAGTGGAGGGAAAAAAGTCCAAAGATTCAAGTGAGATTACTCTGGGGTAAGGTAATAAAAGCCAGGTTTAACTTGTCTCTTAAAACCAAGGAGGAATGGGGCTAATTGTACCTCAGGTGAGAGTGAGTTCCGAAGTGATGCAGCAACCATAGAGAAGGCCTGGTTTCTAGTGACAGATTTTCAGGCCTCTATCGGGGTCGCCCCTCACAACATCCCAGTAAATGAGGTATGGGTAGGACAGGTAGACATTTTGAAGGAGAGGCACTCAGACAGGTAAGGTAGCAAGGTCCCTGTAGTGGAACCCAAAAGATGACGTCATTCCTGCATGTCAATCAGAAGATAGAGCAGGAGGGGCGGAGTGAGAATGACAGTTAAGACAGCTGGAAGGGACAGTTAGAGAGAGTTGGAATAAGACAGGGATAGAGAGAAGTAGGGACAAGAAGTTATTGAGAGAGTGGTAGGGTTTAGGAATAGATTAGAGGGGTTAGGAAAGAGAATTGAACAGTTTACATCATATTGAACAAGCAGGAATGAACGCATAACCATAATATAAATAATTCCAGTGATTGAATACATGATTTAAAAATTGAACACCTGAAACAGTTATATTTGATTCTCCTTATAATTTTTGTTCTTTAATAAAAGAAAGTTTGATCAAAACCCCGATTCCTAAGTTCTTTGAGTAGCTCCTAAGTGTGTGGGAATTGTATTGGTATTAAGAGAATACCTGGTGGCAGCGAAAAGGGCGTTTTCACCTTTGTGGAGCCCATAGATATTAAGGGGTGCAAAGGGGGATCGCCACAGTCTCAAACTGTTGAGGGCTTTAAACGTTAAAAGCACCTTGAACATGGTCCAGAAGCATACAGTCAGCCAGTACAGATGCACCAGGACAGGTGACTTATGATCAAACTGTGATCTACCAGATACCAGCAGCTGCTCGTAGCAGCTTGTCAGCCTCATTCTACACTTGCTACAGCTTCCAAACTGCCTTCAAGGCCACTCCAACATAAAGAGCATTGCAATAGTCTATTGTCAAGATTACAAACGCATGGACAAGTGTTGTTAGGGATATCCCATCAAGATAAGGATGAAGGTATACAATCTTCCTCAGTGGTAAAAGGCAGACCTGGCCACCGCTGAGATCAGATTTTTCCATTGAGAGGGCTGAGTCCAGAAGCACACCCAGATTTCTCACCTGATCCTTCAGAAGAAATGCAACCCCATTTAAACCAGATAAACAGCCACCTAATTAACTACATTTCAATCCCACCCATCTTGTAACAGAGTACTACCATGAGAGGCTAAAAGCAATTTTAAAAATGAAAAATAATAACCCACCCACCAATACAAGTTTGGTAACATTACTACTTGGAGTCGCAGTTTCCAAAATCCCCCAGCTAGAAAAATAACATTTCAAAGCTTTGGTTGAGAATTATAACCTAGGACAAGCTCAGTTTTCTCCCATGCTAAGTGAACAGCACCAAGCAGTAGCTACCTTCAGTTCTGTTGCATGGAGTACATTGAAACTAACCAAAGCCACATGCACTACAAATGAGAGAGAAAGACTGGTTGGTGATTGCTGGGAATGAGGAAGAGTGAGAGATCAAGGCTGTACATCTTCTGGTGAGGCAGCATTTGTATGAACTGAAGTAATTCCTTGGACCTGTATTGCCTAATGGTGAATATCTGGAAAGAGGGTTTATGCTTCACTTTTTCATGACTTCACTAGGAAGTGAAATCTCAGAAGTTTGCAGACATGTCTTGGGGGTAACAGGAAATAAAACTCAAACTGTATTTCCATTTTCCTGCCTGGCACAGTGTAACAGATTAAAACTGACCTAGAAAACCCTTGCTTAGCTGGCTTCTCCCTCTCTCTTTGGTAGCACGTCACTTTGAAGGGGATAAGGAGGTACAGGTCATTTCTTAATTGCAGTGTATGAACTGAAAGGAGTGAGTGAGAAAAACAAGTGGAGTAGACCCAGATCCAGTGTTCCTGATCAAAAGGCACGGTGGAACTGGTGGTGCATATTTCCCTCCTCAATCAACTTATTTTGGTAAGAGAAAGGAGAAATGCAGGAAGTTACAAATGTAAGAACTTACATCTGGACTTCCCCCCCCAACACCCCTATAAAATCCCTTGAGTAAGGAAGGATGACTGCACAG